CTCTTAGCTCCCACACAGGAAATCAGAGGTAGAGAGATCGCTTCAGAAGGAAGGAATAGCGAGAAGAAAATAACTCCTGCTGCCCCCGTATTCAGTTCTGAAAAATCTTAGAACTACAGGGTTGGAAGGGACCCTGTGGATTACCAAGTCCATCCCCTATCAAGGAGGCACAGTGGGGAATCGAGCTCCCAACCTTTGGCTCCGCAGCCAGAGACCTAAACGACTGAGCTATCCAGCAGTTTTCAAACAACTCACAGATCTTGGATGGTTCTTCCAAATGGAAGAGAAACAAAATTCTTCCCCATTTGCAACAGGGAGATATAACACGAATCGCTATTCCCCATAGGGAGAGGACCATGCTTTACCAGTCTGCTAAGTAAGCATAGAAAATGTGAATCATCTCGTCAAAAAGGAATGGAAAGACTAATTCAGAACTAAAATGGTTGAATACACAAGGATTGAAGTACACAGGGTGTGTTTTCACTGCCTTCTCTGTACCTGAGCTGGTTCCGATCCACCACAAAAATGACACGATGGAATATTTATTGCTGGCATCTTTCCAGACCCTGCAGGAGAGGAAAAAAAGGACAGGAAGCCAATCAAATAATCTTCTCTTAGAATAAGATCATAATCTTTTCAGTGGTTGCCCCTCTGGAATGACCTACCACCAGAAATCCATCTGGCTCCCTTGTTAATGCCGTCTTAAAACATTTTTATTTTGGCAGGCTTTCCAGAATGAACACACTTAAGATCCGTGAAAGGGTATGCCTTTTTATTATGCATTTCTGGCTGTTCGTTTTGTTTTTTAATTGTTTTTAATTTTTTAAATTTTAATTGTTCGAATCCTTGTTATTTAATTTGCGTTGATTTCATTTTGAGCACTTTGTTATACTAGGCTTATCTTTTACTCTGTTGTGAACTGCCCGGAGCAACTACTCGTCAGTTGGACAGTATAAAAACCGAATGAACAAACAAATAATTGGAAAAATGCTTGCTAAAAATCAAACCCTTTCAGACAAAAGGATTCACCTCCCAATAAAAGGAACGGGTTTCTAAAGTGAATCATGTGCTTCCTCCAGAGAGGGTTTCCAAATGAAATTCCAAGAGAGGGACAAGACTGTGAGGTCTTTTAACTTAGATATTTTTCTGCAATAGTTAGCGATGCTGAACTTCAGCATTTCTCCAGCATGTCAGATAATATTTAT